TTTGAAAAATTTTGGAATCTAAAAATAGGTGACTAAAGGCTACCATAGAGAAATCATTCAAGTCCCTGTGGTGGGCGGGGCGTGCGCCAAAGTGGGCGGGGCTAACCGGAAGACTAAAAATCTATAATTGTGTTTCAACAGCGACATATCTACCAGGTTGTCTTCGAGAATAGCTCTGCGAAAATTGACGGAGTTAAAAATAGAGATCTTTCCCCACCGGCCTTATTCGATTGGCCTTTCTCGCTTGTACTGGCATCTTTTTCGGGCCTCTGGCGCACAACTATATCAACACGTTTATTAAAATATGGAGAAATTCAAAAAAGCCGTAAGACAGTTTGTGGGTTCCCATGATCCAAGCTTTTACCACGACGGCACAAACTCATTTCCCAGGTGTCGGCAACTATGTGATGACTCTGATGGTGCACATTTTAATCAGAAAAAATTCGTTCAAGCCGGTTTATTACGTTTTGCATTCATCGGTCAAAACCACAATCATTTTTGCGACAACCTAATAATAACAGATATAGCATTTCTGACCCGATTCTACCGGCTTCCTAAGGCCTTTATTTGGAGCTTCATGGTGAACTGAATCTCTTCTCTGCCTAGTGTTTCTTGAGTGCCAGCCAGCCGATACAATTAAAATTCAGATCACCCATTTGCTCGAAATCCCAATCTGTTTGGTACGTGGATGTACCAGCTGTGGTTTGGGCGCTACTCTCGTGCTAGGGGAGTGCTCGATTCATCAGCCTTTGAACATGTCTTTGTCGGAGAGGTAACTATAGAAGCTTTAGGTCGCATGTAACACATTGGAAAAAATCGCAAATCCTGATCTGTTTAGGAGAAAAACGGAGAAGTTTCCGGTCTTCATAATTGGGTACGATTCTTTACACTGGAGAACAATGCTACCGAAAAATTCGACTACCAAGGATTCATAGTGAAACGTGGAGTAAGAACTTTCGAATATTTCAAGAAATTAAAGAAAAACTCTGGACAGAGGAAATCAAATTCCTGTGGTTTCATTATTCGTTCACACTTTCAACCGCCTCCTCAGCGCGCATGCGTGACGCATTAATATCGATTTACGCGCACGACAAAACAATCTGTAGTCGAGTCTACACTCCGAAATATGGCGTGATGACTGTAAACGATGCTTAGATTGCAAGCAGCAATTCATATGGTTCTGTGTTCTTCCCCATATCAGATAGAAAAGCAAAATACATCTGTAAAAAACCCAGTGGTAAAAGACACTTGGAACGGTCTACTTTTTTCAGAGAAAATTTTCAATGAATACCCAAGACGAACGCCCATGTGGGGAGGGTTACTTGTTATGAGCAGTTTTTGGCGCTCACAGGGAAGTAGGAATTCCCTCTCGCTGTCGCCTCTGAGGGTGATTGCCCCTGTGGGTGATACAGATTCCTCCATATCAATGATAGAACCCTGTTGAAATCATAAATCATAACATAGAGAATAAGTTTACAAGTTCTTTTTCGTTAGTTTACTTGTTTATCTATGTATCTATTTATTAAACTACTAAATTATTAGATTATTTAATTATCGGTCTATTATTTATTTATTTATTTATTTATTTATTTATTTATTTATTTATTTATTTATCCATTTACTTTAAGCTGCATAAAAGAAGCGCAAACATAAATGGACCCCAATTAATATGTTTCAATGGACTTTAGTTAGAAAGTTGTAGGTAGAAGAAGGAGTATTTCTCATTTTCAGATTATTTTCAAATAAATTTGATGAAACAAATCAAACAAACAAACAAACAAACCCAAACAAAACAGACAAACAATTGGTTTCTAAAAAAGTTTGCAAACAAAATAAGCATACAGGAGCCACTTTTCGTGCGCAGGGCGTTATGACTACGATAAGATTCAATTGGAAAGGTCTTCCAAAGAAATCCGGATCTCTGATGATTGGTACGTCTCCTGAATTCGATATGGCCCTCTACACCATGTGCTTCCTTTCACGTCGTGGTAAAGAGACATGCCAGGTTACTTGCCAGGGAACTGCTTACCCATTGGGTTGAGGCTCAGGCGGTTCGTTTCAGGTTGAAGTCAATGGATGTCCTGTGTCTGTGACCAGTTACGATATGGTTCAAAACGGAAAGGTTTGTTTACCAAAATTCCCCGGACTAGTCACTCGCCGTTGTTATTGTTGCTGTTATTGCCTCTTGTTGTTGTTGTTGCTGTTGTTGTTTGTGCCTTACTGTGAGCGTGTTGTTTTAAGGCATACATCGGAACAGTCTATCCGACTGCAGGACCACAAAGTGATCGATGTGGCCGATTTTAGACACATTGGCTTATTAAATGCATGCCATTAAAGATTTTCCGAGAAAAAATATTCTATTGTGTATAAAAGTCGACTTTTTCAGTTTTGGTGTAATTTTTGAGGTTCTCAGTCGAAAAAAAAAACAAATATGTTTTTAAAACTTTGCTTGATCCAAAAATCTGGGAGATTACAATGATACCGGAAAAAATAAGTTTGGATTTTCATCAAGAGGGAGCCGGAGAACATTTCAGTGATTTTGGTTCTACCTAGTGAAGTCTGAAGTCTTTTTGATCACAATCCCTCATGCCGACATCTGCCTGTGAAGTCTGATGTGTCGGAAGAAGGTGATCGTCATCGGTGGTTGAGGCACTCAGACTTCTGACCCCAGATTCTGACAATACTCGTCCAACGCATTATGCAATGCAGGGGTTTTATCTTACCCTTGTGTACGAGATTGAACCGGGGTCGGAATATTCGTCATGTTAGGGTAGGGTTAGGCCGTAACCCTACACCGATTCTTTGACTAAACAACCCAAAGTCCTCAACGCTACGGTGCACCGCGTTCTCCCCGTGCGACAGTAACGTCCTCCTCTCGTCCAGGGAGAGACGAAAACTACTTCGACCGCTTCTTAGGATTAGGAAAGCAGATGAATCAGCTCCTGGGAATTCAGGTGCTCCTCTCACAATCGGTCAAACTTGTCCGCTGCAACCAACCAAATGGGATTCGGAGAGCCCCAGCCTTTCTGTGGAGGCAGCTCATCTTCAAAAATGGACAAGGAAGTACATTGAATTGAAAGATCGACTAACTGGCCGACCGAAAGCTTATCAAACTCCAGTGATAGTATTCTGCCCATTATAACCGAAGTTAATTATTACATAGGTGCTATATATCTACTTTCTACAGTTGGAAATTACAGTGATACCAGAAAAAGTATGTGTGGATTCACTGAGCAGTATAACGGAAAAAGACCAAGTGTCAAGCACACTATGCACTTATTTCTCGTTTCGATACCTAATGGGTATCGAAACGAGAAATAAGGGTAGGATTTTTCTTACGTGATCGCTCCACAAGGAGCGAAAGGGATCGGCTTGCCACAATTACCTTCTGGATCAGATCAGACGTACTGCCCTCGCTTCAAGCGTCCGCAAAGCGTCACTTAGTCTCACTGGCCCAGTCAAAGATTGGGACAGGTCTCGTACTACAAGTAAGCGGTCACTCTGCGCGTATCGTTGTAAAGATCAAGCGAGGATCGACCAAAGTGCGCCATCGATGGAAATGGATAGGCGCTCATTTGGCGCGGTTCCCCGCATTGCGCCACCCATTCCCATTCTGAGCTGGACAACTTGTCCATGCGATTCACCCTCCTAACCATGCTAATCTACCAACCACTGCCCTCCGGCCGATCGATGATGACCCTACTATTTGACACCGGACTTCGGACCTACTTGTTTTCTGTATATTTACATCGATTAGCATGGCCACGTGGTTGAGTCTGGACGAGTTGTCCAGATCAGGAACCGCGTCAAATGGGCGACGCGATCGGAGGGGCAGCACCAAACGACATACACCCCGCTCGAGACGTTCCACTCGCTCTAGCCTTTCATGGCCCAACAATTGCTCCAGAGACTTTTCGANAGGATATCCGTATTGAGCTTTACAATGACTGCCCAGTTTAGGGCACTGTATCAGCTAAATACGTACTATCAGATAACACTAGGATTCTGGAAGAAAGACGGATACGAGGCAGACCTCGTCCTTTGACAGAACTTACAACATGAACGCCAATGCCTTGTTCAATGGGTTACCTTTTCTACAAGAATCCTGCCGTCCTGACGGCAGGTTTGGGAGCTCTCGCCATGGGAGGTCTTTCGATCGACACGAAAAAAACCATGGAGACCGGAAAGCGTGAACATTTCCACTCAAAGGGATCACTGCTGGCTTTTTCAAGCATCGATCGCTATCAGCTCAATGATAACAGCTGGATCAACTGGAACTCATCCATTTCGGATTTAGTTTTTTTAGTGGTCGTATATGAAAGGTGAGTTAAATGTGGTGTAAACAACTTATTGCCTAAAATGGCCACGTTCTTGCGGAGTGTTCAGGCTCAGACTAAACATTAATCGCAACGCCCGACATTTCGACGGCATCGGCTTCCTTACAGGTGAGGATTTCACCGTTGAACCGGACATAATCCGCTGTAGTCACAGCCGATGGTCCCTGAAGACATGTATCGAAGGCGACGTGAAACTAACGTTCAACATTCCCGTCTTTGTAATGTGCTCCCACATTCAATCAACACAGAATCGTAAAGGGTTTTTTTTTTGAATACGTGTGGCCGATCGAATTGCGGTGGCCAACCCATGTACAAGTCAATGCTTTATCCTCCCAGAAGGGTCTGGTACCGACTGGGCTTCAGCACAGGGTTGGACTAGGCGACTATTGATCCGCGATCCCGTCTCGGATGGGTGCGTGCAATAGTATGCACCCGCTCTCCAGAACAACGCCTTCACACCGAAACCAGAGAGTACTTCCAATTGAAAACGCCGCGAAGCACAAAATTTCACTACAGTAGACTATTGGGTCGGTTTAATACAGGAGAGAAGTTGGAAGTCATTTGATGGTTTACCCTTTCGACTGGGAGACAATCGGGGTATTTGGAAAGGGTGCATCCGAGTATCTCTGGTTTCCAGGCTGTGCTGATAGCAATAAACTCGGAACATTCGTGAAATAGGACATTACCGACTTGTTGAGGGCTTCAATACATATTCATACTCATTATGTCAAGAATCACCAGAAAAATAGAAAATGATGGCAACGACCAATGAGAAAAACTCCTCTAAGTGGACCTTCAGCGCACTGTTCAGTCCATTACCTTACCCTCGGAAAAAGGGGAGCTCCATCCTCAGCTGAAGCATATAAATCACAGTACTGCTTTCCCTATTCATTATGAACTCCCTTTTCTGCGGTATGGGCAACATCGAGAATTCTATGCTCGAAGACCGGTGCCATCTGAAATTGTTTATGGCAGAGCTCAAATGACTTCCACTCGCTCTGACCACCCAGCATAGCTATAAGTGCAATGGGGTAGCGATAGTGCTGGCCCGCGTCCAAGAGCACAGAGCGATAAGGAAGGCTTTGAAGATTAAAGGCATACCGCTGTAATTGTCATTCAGAGTCCTGAAGATACGAGGGAGTGGTTTACATGAAACTAGCTGACTATCACCACATACGAAGACTGAAATAAACAGACCTAATGACATGGTGACTGAGTTGTAAGTTCAGCGTTGCCTAGCGATAGGTTCGAGCCCCGAAAACACTAAAAATTAGCTAATATCTCTATTTCTGTCCTTTGTTTCTATTTCCATTTTCGTTTATTTTTCATCTCAGCGGCAGAGCTCCAACGGACAAACGTATTCCGTTACAGTTCATTTCTGAATCGTCCTATTCAATTCGTAGGTCTAACAGACCGTCACCTATATAATGAAATCCTTTTCGTCGCCGTGGAATCAATTCTTCGTTTCTTCATTGTTGTTCCTGACCATTCTGGGTCTTTCATAGATTTTTTTAACATTCGCTCGATATTTCCCAATCAGAGGATCTTTCCTTGCTCTCTTCGCTTCCAGGGTCAGATCTGGTCCGTCCTATTCCACCGTTGTCCGTGTCGCCATCAATCGATGCCACGTCTTTTCGTCGTTTTCACTATCGCCGTGCGCATTCTCTCGTTTTCATTGGGTGCACGTGATTTATCGTCAGTCCTCCCACGTCATATGTTCGTTATTTCAGACATGTTGCACGTAGTATTGATGGCGATGATTCTTGGGCAAGCAGTCCTGGCAGCAGAAAAAATACCAGGTGGGCCTTCGAGTGGCAACCAGTCATGTTTGATAAGAGATTGATAAGACGCCTATGAAAATACCAAAAAAAAACACATGAACACGCAAAAAAAAACTGGTCAAAAATAGCAAAAAAAAATGCAGTCATCAGCTGAAAATTCCAATGAAATCTGATTTTTCCCAGGAAAAAACAAGGACCCCAGGTCGATTTTTTCATAAAAGCGACCTCCCTATCCTACTTACCTCAGAGGGTTAAGTACAGTGATTTGGGAAATTACTTGTGCACCTGTAGAAGTCGCTGACACATCAGTTAAATTCCCTCAAAATAGTACCTTCCTGGAAAGAAACCGGTTTGAGTTTGCTCTATCGGAATGAATAAATCCTCCCGCTCCAGCGCATTGCCCGATCGGGAAGATTCCAGCAAGTTAATCAGCTGGATTCATCAATAGCCAGTTGATGGTTCACCAGCAATTAAATGCACTAGCCACTTAACTGCAAGAGATGTTCGTCTTGGACAATCTGGTATCTACCCGAAATCAAACATTCCTACACTCGCCGTCTTGTCCAAACAGTCAGACAGGCCAAGTGAAATTCCAATGGGCAACATAAAAGTGGGCAGAAAAAGGTACCGGTTTGAGCTCTCCTACTTAAACAACAGCTATATGGCATCGGATTAGCTGCAAGTGGCCTTTCGAAATTGGACCATCCAAAATTTACAGAGGAAGAGACAATCAACGATCCATCTTGGTTACTTATACTAGTGAACATCAAAACCTTAAACGAAGGCGGATTCCTTTTCGAAAGTCATGGAAAAGTCCTCAGCGGAGATTTAGGAAGAATTCCTTCCAAAGTTCCTCCCTTCGCGGTCTATGGATTCTCCTGGAAATTGGCCTTTCGTTTGAATCCACAACGTGCTTAGGTTTCGGAGTTCTTCAGAAAAAAGCCCGCACATGGCCATACAACACTTTTATTTGGTCAATAGTGAGACCTTACCCACGAGTGTATCTCTCAGAGTAGGTCGGGTCCCAACTACTTGAAAAAGTCCCGAGTTCCTAGTAAATTTGTGGTGCTCATGAGAAATTTTCATTTTAGCATTCTCCGTTACCGATACCGAATTGAAAGAGATGTCGAAAAAACTCCGAGATGCAGATGAGAATAAAGCCTCGAGGGGACAGATTCAAGTGAATTTCCAAGGCCACACCTCAACCAGAGATACCTCGGACAATGCTCCACGTCGGTTTGTGATTAGAAATATTGGAAATTCTGTTACTTTGTCGTTTTTTCATTTGTTAAACATCTGGGTTTTGCTTACTCTTGCTCTAAAGGCACAGTTCACGATAGACACGGTTTCCGAGACTTCTTCCCAGGATGGACACATGAACTCCAAGAATGGCACAAGGGATGCTGTCGAATCGAAAAACGGCCCAATAGGGAGTAAGGGCTAAAACATGCTATGCCGAAGTACACGCCCAAAAGCGGACGAGTTCTCACAGTGTTGTAGAGGCTGTAGAGGTTGCACCATTCGCACCGGGACGCACACTGCATGCAGGCAGCTACTGTAGCTAGCTGTATGCAATGACACACTCATTTCTGCAGCTCGTCCAAATACCCCTTCCATGCAATTTTTGTCTTCACATTCTTGTCCAACCCCTAAATTTACTACTTTTTTGAAGCTTTTATATCTCAATTACGCCAATTTTTGCGTTTTCTTCGCCACTTTTGCACTATACGGGACTATTTATCCCATTATAAGTCTATGGTAAGGTACCTCATAATCATCGTGAACTGTGTTTTTAATGGTAGAAGGACAGAGTTCCAATGAAAACTGCACTCCTCTGCAGACTTTCTATATCGAATCATTGGATTCCTCAAAGGTGCAATTTCAGCTTCTTTGACAAAGTGGACGGTAGGCTTTTGGAGAAACCCAGCTACAAACAATTTCTGGCCCTTGCAGACAACTTTAATCGACATACCGGCACGACCGAGCCACGCGTCTCTGTTGCTGAGGTTCGTTTCGCGGAACCACACTCATCTCTCGGTCTTTTTAGGTTGAAAGTTCATTCTCGACATGAAGTGATGGCACGGCATGTTAAAATCAGCTGTGGGCAACCAAAAGCCCAATCTCCACTACATAGCGGATGGTACAGTACCCATTCAAAAACCCTCTTGGTTACTCCTTCCATAAGATCAGCTAGGTGACCTCGAAAGCGCCCAGTGTGAAGGCTCAACCCCCGTGGCGAGGTCCGGAAAGTCCAAATTGTGGGGTCTGGTTCTGAAAGGTTTTTTAAACGTTAGGAACAACAAGCTATGCAATGGAATCGTATTTCTGCCCGAATGTACTGTAAACACCTAAAAGGACAGAGATGGCAGAGGTCTTTACTCCAAAAAAGAACATCTTTGATTCAGGAAAAGAGGGAAACATCCACATTTCTAACTACCGTACTTGAATCGAAGCCTTGGAAAGTGCTCTACCGCTACCTCAACCAGAAAGGTTCGAAAACATAGAATTTGTAAACAATTTAAAATAACCAACAACACTTAAAACAGGTCATCCTTTCGCTGTCAGTCCTCTGGTATTTCGTTATTGGATCGCTCAACTTTGGTTTGTACACTATTCACGTGCTCGTGGCCGGGCTGACACTTCTGGTTTCGAGCACATCTTTATGGGAGAGGTAATTTGATGACTTTCCTAATAATTTTTTGTTTTGGAGGTCCTCAAATCCCTACGATCCGTAAGCAGAAGCACAGGACGCGGTATAGTCAGGACGTGCTACTGCCAAGTAGTTTCCTGTAGCGAGCCTGAAACTATTCGGCAGTAGCGCCCCCCGATGGTCTCCCCATTTTCGACAGGTACTCGCACACGAGTTCGAACCCGGTCACTTCCCTACTGAGCTCGTCGGAACATAGGTCAAGTGTTTTACCGCAAGGCCCCATCCAGAAAGTTCCGTGCACACCTCGTTGCCAAGCTTCGAAGCCGATAACGGTAAGATCGGAGAGGCCCCTCAATTCGGACGACCGATTGCGATATCATGAAACCTCCGAATGAGTCGTACGTATATGTACGGCAGCGCCCTTCCATAGCACTTCTATGGAAACTTCAAGAAAAATCCAGAAAAAACCGGGCATGACCACGTAAAACCGCGCTCACAAAATCCATACCCTGGTCATACTCTTACTATGTAAGAGTATCCAAAATTTAAGAACCAGTAGATACCAACAAAATTGCATGTCCCTCTGTAGGTTTTCCATTTCCCATTGCAACGTATGTTCAGCAATTTATGGGAAAGCTCTCGTTGCAAGAGGGTGCAGATTGATGAAATTTTTCCCGCGCGCGGGCATTCGGATAAATCGGTGCTGCAACGGTCTGGCACTTCCCTAGCCGACAATCTTCTACAGACANCCCCTACTTTCTACCTTGAGAGTGAGCTTACATGCCTCAAGCGGCTTATTGTTAGTCATTCCATACTTGTTGTCGTGAGCATGCAGCAACAGGACCCTAGTGGGATTCGAAGAGTAAGCTGAGTGCGAGGAAAAGTGAATCGACCAGACAATGAGTGACCTTCCAATGGCACTGTAGAGACATTTCAAGATTCAATGTGATTTGCCGCGCAATGTGCCTCGTGCTACTATAAACGGTGACCGTCGAGTATAACTATCGTCGGTAGTTATACTCGACGGTCACCGTTCATAGTTATAGCGAAGCACGAGGTCGGAAAATTTGGTGTTTATCACCTTTTATGGAACCTCAATAATATTATATTGTTATACATATATTTATCAGGAATTACTTTCGACTGAACATTCTAGTGTTCTAGGAGAAGAATAATGAAATTTCTGGCCTGCACAACTGGCTACGATTCTACACATTGGAGAAGAACGCCACCGAGCATTTCGACTACAAAGGATTCATAATCAAACGCGGAGTGAGACTTAGAAAATTTCGTCAAAATCGCAAGTATTACGATAGTTATGGCACTTATGTCTCCAAAATTAATCGAACTAGAAAACTTTACTTCAATCTTGGCTCACCTGTAGCCTTGATGTAGAAAGGGGATGAAAGAAGGGTGGCCAGGAACAAGGCGCGGCGATCTTCCAAGTTGCATGCATTTGTCGCCACGATTCAATCAATACCCAAGCAGTTCACGGAACGTCGCCTTCTGCTGAAAAGTATAGACACTTCACAAATCACATTTTTAATATGCAGCGCTTGAAACTTATTGTTATATTCATAATATATGTATATTTTATTAATTTAACCTCGGCAATGTCAATCGCAACAAGAATTAGAACTGAAAATGAAATCAACGAACAAAAATTTCAATCAATTCAGAACGTTATGGCGTCCTTAAAATTTATGTGGGGAGATGATTTGAAGCGATCAGGATCGTTACTGATCGGTACATCACCTGAGTATGAAATGGCGCTGTACACGTTGTGCTTCCTGGCACGACGTGGACGAGATCAGTGCGAGGTGAGCCCGAGCGGACGAGTTTTTTAGGTCAAGAAGTGCGTCAAGACTCTTTCTTTTCAGGTAGAAATCGATGGATGCCCTTTATTGATTACCAGCTTCGACATAGTCCAAAATAACAAGGTTCCTTGAAGTTTTTCTCCCTCCGTGCCTCATATTTTTCTAATTTTTCGTTATTTAAGGTATTCATTGGATCAATCTTTCCAACGGCTGGGAAGCTTACCGAACAATGTCGTCGTCTTGCAGGGCGGGCTTAGACTCAACTACTTATTTACATTCCATAAACAACTTCTCTTCAAAATCAATTTGTTTGTCAATAAACGTTCACGATTCGAATGTCGTCATGACAGTGCTGATGTTGCCTCATCGTTTTATTATTTCTCATTCTTTAAGGTATTCATCGGATCAATTTTCCCAACGGCAGGAAGGCTTACCGAAAAATGTCGCCGTCTTGCAAGACGGGCTTAGGCCCAACTACTTATTTACCTTCCTTGAACTTTTTCTCTTCAACTTCGTTTTTGTTTGTCAATAAACGTTTCCGATTCGTTTGTCATCATGACAGCACTGATGTTTCGTGACGATCCGGTCGTTTTGATCGGTCCGCAAGTAAAAACAGAGTTCCCAGGGGTTTGAGGGTCGTTCTCTCTATTTTGGACCTAACAATTCTTTCATTTCTCTGTTTTCTCCATTGAAAATATCTATGAAACCTGCGGTAACTACCCTCTATACGACGCAGCATAAGGTATGGTATTGTCAATAGAATAGGCTTCCCATCGCTCGAATCCTTTATCGCTTATATTTTTCTTTTCCGTGTGAAGGTGACGTCTCAAAATTTTGGAAGCCTTTACTCAGTAAAGGCGGTACCTACCAATAAGAAGAACGATATGAACAAGGGTTCCAAAAAACAAGAAGACCCACCATCATGGCCTAGGATTAGATCCTTTTAGAAATCCAGACCAGCCCTCTACCTTCATGAAGAACCCAAATTCTGACGTAGTAACAAATGATACTCCGGAAAAAAGTATGAACTGAGAAGGTAGGAGGTTCAAAACCTATCCGGGCTTAGACTTCCAGGCCAGTCTGATTAACAGCTTCAATGACACTCCCGTCTTCGGGTCTGGTACCTTCTCCCCGAATATGACGGCGCGTCCGCCGCACCCGATCGCGCGCTATGAAGGGAAAGGTCCAGTGCAAGTATAGGGTGGCTGCCGCGTGACCACTGCCGCTTGCCGTGGGAATTCGGGGAGAAGTTCCCGTACCCCCTCCCCCTGTCTTCACGACTTGTTCAACCTCAGGAAGTCAGAACTGCAAGGATATAGACGAAGCATTGCCATGTAAGAGTAAAGTGAAATCTGAAATTCTCATGACAGTTCCTCCGGGCGGACGAAAGCCCGGAACACTCGACGGATGAGACAAATTGGGGGGTTCTGGCAGATACCATGATGCAGTAAATACTAATTGTAAGTTGAATGGAAACCGAACTCACTCTTGTTTAAATTTGAATTTGTTTATTCCAGAAAAATGGCTTCAATCCAGAGCTGCCCCAATAATTTCGTCCGCAACAAACTTTTTAATGAAGCTTCAAGAGGATTCTGTTTGATCTATTTTGGTTTCTTGCTGCTCGAACCCTCTTTAACGGACTCATTTGAAATCACAGTTTTGGAATCACAGTAACAAAACTGTAGTTGGTGGCATCCCTCTTTCTGAGCATCAGGCTCTAGAGCGCATAGAAGGAAGAGCAGCCGGCACTGTCATGGTGTCTGAAAACATTCTTCAGCCAGGGAAGAATAGTTCTCCAATTAACAATGAACCGTAGGAGCGGAGAATCACCGAGATGTGTGAGATTATCACCACTGGCAAAAAGCTGGGAGCGTGAGGGATTAGAAATTCAAAGTGGCGGTGAAAATAAACCACCGATTCACCTCTTTTCCAAGGTGTAGGTGGTTGGGTTGGAGAGCATCATTACGGGCTCAGCTCGCAAAGACGATCACCCATTCTTCTCTGCACTCTGGCGTATGCTGTTAGAGAAGAAAAGGGTCCTCTCTCCCTCAACTACATTTTCGCCTTCCCATTTTCACTTCGCTCCACTAACGAGTAACGAGTAAAAACGTTAATTTCAGATTCAGAGAGGAGTGGAGTGTAAGAAATGTAGTCCGGATACCGTAAACAAAGGTCCACCCACAAGATGACCAAATTTTCCACGTCCAATGAAGTGGTCTTCTGGAAATCAATTTGCGTTCGAAGAGACTGCCTAGTCGATGAAAAGATGCTGAATATCAGGAAACAAAACTCTCGACGCTTATCAATAATTAAGAAGGGCTGTTAGAATAGCGATCGGTTACAAAGCAGCCAGATCAACCGAAAAACACAAAATTGGCGTCACAAAATTCGGGACTTTTTAGGAACCCCAAGTTCTTTCCTACTTTCCCGCCGAAAAACTTTTTGGCTGAGTATCATAAAAATGATGTGTTGAAAGAATTGAGTTGAGATCAAGTAAAGATCAAACCAACATACGGTTTCCACCTTGTTCAACTCCTGAAAATCTTTTTTTAATATCTTCATGCCCGGTGCTGTCCAGAAAAAAATCATAATAATCCGATGGTGAGATGAAAAGGAACTACTTTCGAGTCGCTGTCAAATTCCCACTTCATACAGAAGTGATAAAGGACCACAGCTTGGCATCACCCTAGCAGGTTTCGTTTACCTCCAAAATCACTAGTAACAAATAGCGACGTGATTTTTGGAGGATTTTTGGAGGGCAGCAGGAAAATTGGTTATCTAAACTGCTTTTTACTTCTTTCACTGATAAAACTGAAGTGTTAGGTTGTACGCTACGAAGTACCGCAAAATTTCTCAACGGATCCCATTCTCGGAGGTTTCTTGGAGTTCCCGTGGAGGTTCCTTATGGGGACGTTACTCCTCTTTGGACCCCATTATTTATCCTGTTAGATCTACTTTGCTTTATTCGTATCAAAATGTCCAAAATGTCGCGCCATATTCGACATGAACTACTCCATGAGTTGAATTCGGCCACTCCACGGCTGAAGCACATCGAGCCCTGTGGGTAGAATTTGGTCTTAATGCGCTTTCCGAGCGGTTCGCTACTCCTCTTCCCAACGCTCCAGAGTAGGAAACGAGATGGTCTCAGATGGGACTCTATCTGGTCAACCAATCGTTGCACTATGAAATCTCCGTATGTACTTAATTCACAACAGCGGTGCCCCTTCATCGGTTTCTGGGGAAGCTTCCATTGCCATTTTTTAGGAATTACCAAAAACTGAAAAAAGTCCAGATTTTTTCAGAACACTCTGGAAAATTCGAGTTTTTGGTAGCTACTTTACGTACACCGCGATAGTAACGAGCACCATCCTTTACGTGTACCCCAACGACAACATCATCTCCTACGCTCCGTTCGCTTCACCTGCTCATACTCTTACAATGTAAGAGTATACAAAAATTATGAAGCAATACCAATGCACGCAATCTCTTCAGAAACTGTGGCAATCCCAGAAACTGCGGGCAACAACACAACCATTCTAGGGTTTTCATTCCCCATCGCAACTTACGTATAGTAAGTTGGTTTCTAAGGGGATTCTCCATCACAGGAAGACGCAGACGACACGAAAAAAATCGATAACATAGCAGGATCGATACAGTAGGTACCTTGAAGGTACCTTGCATATCTTTCCCTTCAGTCTTGAACGGACCGGCTATTCCTGTTAGGACCCTTCATGTCTATACATTGAGAATAACGGGTTATGACAAGACGAGCTGCTTCAAGGCACAAAGGGCGATGAGGACATCGAGACGAACTTGGGCTCAGCTACTTATTTACCTTCCGTGAACAACTCCTCCCCAACTCTGTTTATGTTTGTCAACAAGTGTTCGCGATTCGTGAAGACACTGATGTCTCATAACTACCCGGTCGGAATAATCCACGAGGATCCCTGTTCCCACCTGTTTTGACCCGAAGCCGCTTTTAACGTCTTGCCTCTCTCCTGTGGGAAGTTTCTTATGGGTAGCACCTAAACTGCCCTCTATACAACGCAGAATGCGATGTAAAATTTTCTGTACAATGAGTTACTCGTGTCTTATATCTTTCATCGCGTGTGCCTTTCTCTTGTGTGGGTATCTCTATCAGACCAAATTTCGGAAGCCTTTACCGGTAATTATCCAATCCAAGAGGTGAAGGTTCTCAGGAAAGTCAAGCGCGCCAATATTTCCACCCAAAGTCACGGAACTGGAATTTTCCAATGTCAAGCATAGAAAAAACCAAATACTGATCGACTTTTCCCAGTACGGATTTCCCGTAGCAAACCTAGCCATTATTCTGTCTGGGTATGGGGGGGAATAGACTAGAAATGTCCATCACCACCTCACATGCGCTCCTACTACTATCTACTTCCTTTACTGTTAGTACTAAATCATTGAGTCGTTTGGAATGTTCGCCCAGAATTCCCTGGAATGCTTGGGGGATTCCTGGGATTCTTGTATAAGGGAACTTCTAGCTTGTATACGCAAACAACCCGCTTTATCTTCTTCGCTTATTTTAGCCTATAATGGCCGACTGTATCCACACCTACGTCCCCTCTTTTTTTCAAGTTTAAATCCGTCCACTCCACGGATGCACTCGTCCTTCAAGCCCTTCTGGACGGCTCCGTGTACGCCTAGTTCAACACTCCAAAANAAAACCGCAAACAAAAAATAATCACCTGAGACTTGCCGGAAGGCCAATCTCCCCTACTAGCGAGCGGAGGTTATTTTAAGACCCTCGTGCTCACTCTATTCAAGGAATAGGTCAGACAACCTGGATAAGCCCTGAGTGAAGGAGAATCCGTGATGAGTCTGGTTCTGATAGATTTTTCAAACGCTCGGAATAACGAGTTATGCACTGTAATCGTATCTCTGCCCGAAGGTACTGTAAACACCAAAAAAGGCAATGATGGCTGAGTTTTATATTACAGGAAGAATCACCACTGATTCAGGGAAAAAATCAATTTTTCTCAGGACCGTACTTCAATCAAAACCTTGGGAACTGCTGCTCGAGTTTTTCCACAATAAAAAGGTACAGAACGAAAAAGCTGGGTAAACAAAATAACAAACATTGATTGAATCAGGCCATCCTTTACCTGTCAATCCTATCATATTTCAGGTAGGGTAGTATTGGACAAGGTATTGGTCAAGATGCGAGGCGTTTCCCGAGCCGTTGCGGCCTTAAAATCCCTGCACGCGTTATATGCATATGACCAGCGATCCGCGCTTTCACAGTAATTTTTTCCGAAACTCCCAGAATTCCCCATAAAAAATCCGGGTTTTGTTAGTTTTGTCAGATGCCCTGCGCATACCTGGAACCATGACGACAAAACCTACCGTGACCTGGACAATTTCACACGGGTTACACTCTTACATAGTAAGAGTATTCCAAAATTTAGGAACGAGCAGCTAACATCGTGGCAAGAATCCCAAGGTTCCTTTTTTTGTACGCTCCCCATTTCCCATTGTAACTTACGCCTAGCGAGTTGGATATGGGGACGCCCCTACCGTAAGAGGGAGCAGACGACACGAGAAATAATCGCGCCCATCGCTGGTTGCTTTCATAGTCGGCAGTCGCGCCGGCTAACGTAAACGAATTAGTTCGTAGGTGAGAAATCTGCGTCTTAAAATCGTAGCATTCTATTTCACGGTCAGAACCCGACCGTAAAGAATCTGACCGTGAAATAAAATGCAACAGACGTACACACGAACTAATTCGTTTCACATCAGCCGGCACTCCTGCGGACTATGAAAGCAGCCAGCGATGGATTCGATTACTTGCAGAGCCGGCGACATAAGACTTTGTCGTCAGTGTGAAAGAAGCATATTAGTTGTGTTGTTGTTGTTTTTCCAGGTAGGGATCGATGGGTGCCCTTTATCGATCACCAGCTTCGACATCGTCCAAAACAACAAGGTTCCTTGGATTTTTTCCCCCTCCATGCCTCAACTTTTTGTAATTTTTCGTTATTCAAGGTATCCGTTGGATCAACCTTTCCAACGGCTGGAAGGCTTCCCGAACAATGTCGCCGTCATGCAGGACCAGTCTAGACCCGACCACTTGTTTACCTTCCGTAAACAATTCCTCTTCAACTTCGGTTTTGTTTATCAATAAACATCCGCGATTCGACTGTCAGATGGCAATGTTGATGTTTCGTTATAGATTCGCCGATCCAAATGATCTGCACAGAAAATCGAAGGTACCGGGAGTTTCAGGACCTTTCCCGCCAATGCCAAACGATCCTTCACGTCTTCGTTCTCTCCCATGGGAAGATCTATGGGAAGTGCGTAACTGTATTCTATACGACGCAGCATGTCCTATGAAAATGCCAAATAAGTGGATATACGACCCTTTATTCCCGTCGAAGTCTTACCATAGAGTCGAAATTTTGAAAGCCTTTACTTTGTAAAGGCTATACTTGTCAATGGGATGAGTCAAGATTCTCTAGGAGATCAAGAAGTTCTTAAACCGCGACGAAGGGTTAGGTCACTTGACTAGCTTCTGCACGAAGGCTCATTCCAGCTCTCTACGTCGTGGGGACTTGCTCCGAACAGTTATGGAGGATTAATTGATACTCCGGAGCAGGAAGGATGAAGTGGGAGAGCAATATGTACAAAACTTTTCCAGGCTGTAGATTTCCATTTCCAGGTACTCTCCCGTGACAGGATTCGATTAAATGTTGTCTAGTGGTAATTGTTGAGTCTTGGATCACCCGATGACTGGATAGTTACGAATTCGGTGGGAACTGAAGTGACTTCTGTTATGAACCTGATTTCTAAAGAAATCACTCCAGTCCAGAAGAGCCTTAACAATCTCGAACACAATCTCTAACCTCAGAATCTCTAACCTGAGCACCCAGTTGACCGAAGTTTTGGTTCTTAGCAAAAGGGAAAGCGGTATCATGCTAGCATATTATTTCTCCTGAAGTACTTAGGTCCGCAAACAATGCCTCCCTTCCTTCCCTGCGCTGAAATGTTGTCATTCCAAGGAAGGTCTTCTGTGCAAAACGAACGGGTCTACCTACAAGTTGGCCGCATTCTCCACATCCTGCGAAATAAAGTAGCTATCCAAGCATCACATAGTGCCTAAAGATATTACTCAATCAGATGAAATTTACTCAACATCAGGAAAAAGCCTTGACGTTAACCAGTACCAATGAGGAAGGGTTTACAGAATAGGAATCGGTAACAAAGAAGAGTCGAGAGTCCCAAAATTATAGGAACTTTCAAGAATGCCCAAGTATTTTGCTACTTTCCCGCCCAAGAACTCTTTAGCTGAGTACCTGAAAAGTTATGTGTTGAAGGAATTGACTTGAAATCATGCAGAGGTTATTTCCACCTACCGCTCTCCCCTTGTTCAACTTATACCTTGAAAGATTTTTTTTGAGAGTTTCATTCCCACCACTGTCTAGGAAGAACATTACCATTCCGACGATAGGAAGAGAAAGAACTAATTTTGATTTCTTGCTGTCAAATTCCCATCTCATAGGAACTGATAGAGGACCACAGCTTCGATATCAACATAGCAAAAGCTTCGTTTACCCCCCCCCCCCCCCCACCACCCCCAAACAAAAAAACNCCCCCCCCCCCCTATCACGAGTAACAAGTAGTGACGTCGATCCGGGTGGGAGGAATGGGCAGTAGAAAATGTGGTCATCTCACAGATAGCCCCACAAAAATTTTCCTTTCCTCACAAGTTTTCTTCCTTCCTTGGTTTACGAGTTCTTTCGAAAAATTCGATGTCGATGATAGCAGAGTGGTCTACTGTGCTCTTCTCAAAGCGGTAGATAGTTTGGATCCTCCGCGTGCTCAGCTTATGGTGTTCGTCGGGAATAGTGCCAGTAGATGGTCGCGGAGCACCGACGTCTCTGCAAGCTTTTCACGCCATTGTATAGAATTCCTCGAAATCTTCTTTGAGAAGCGGACAGAAAAGATTTAGAGAAGTTGGGAACAGTCTTCAGTTCTTGCCTACAACATCAGCCGTACAACAGGTACTGCCGAACCACCCGTCTCCGTGTCCCGTCCCCCGTCCCCTAGGTGAGATTCGTTTTGGAGCTTTGGGGCTAATACCGTGATTTTCTCAGGCTTACAGTTCAGTTCGTTTGTGGCATGAATAAATGACAATGCAATAAGGGAGGTCAGAATCTAATCCACCCGAAATTGGCGATATAGCAGCCACTTCGATACACCCTATGCTCAATCTCTACATAGCCTCGCAGTCTCGTTATTATTCCGAGTGGAAGCCGAATATGTGGGGAGTCCTTAATTTTAGATATTAGGAGCGGGAACAAACTGTTCTGGTGTTCTTGAAGGTTTCATGGAATCACCAAATCGGGACATCACTCCCATTCCTCACTTCCTTACAAGTTTGAATCTAGCCGGTTCTGCACTCGCCACACCACTGTAGCCCATCGTGGCTCTCAAGCTTTTTCAAAACTGTTCTGTGCTACCTCGTTGCCTCGCTTCAAAGCGGGAGCTTGAACTCAACCAAGCACCCGGAACATTCCATTACGAAGATCGTTCCCTCACGATGACTATTCCACCCCTCCTTTATAGGCATACTCTTATATAGTAAGAGTATCCAAAATTTGAAACGGAAACAACCGGATATCTCCTTCCCCATTGACCTCCCATTTGGTACGTTTCCCATTTCCCATTGCAACTTACGCCCAGCGAGTCAGAAATGGGGAAGCCTTTATCACAAGAGAGCGCAGACAACACCAAAAATTATCGCACCCATCGCTCGCGCTCATTTCCACGGCCTGTGAGGTAGTCTAGAGGTTGTTGTCTCGGGTCATTGTAGCCGCCATGAGACAAACCGTTTGTTCGTGCCAGGACCCTTTTTATGATATAATTGTAAAAGAGGGGTTCCGACAAGATCCAGCTTCAACGCTTCGAGGGCAGTGGGATCTGACAGCCTTCGCTCGAGAGAGTACGATGGAGTGGGTGATTTATAGTAAGTGATAAAAATTAAGCGCACTCGACGATGTTACTTCGTGGAAGAGTCCAATTTATGACATAACTGCTGGATGAAAGCCAAAACTGTATCGTAAACCTAATTTTTCACTTTGAATATTACGACATTATTGGCATCTATGTCTCCAAGATCATTCAAACTCAAAAATTTCACTTCAGTTTGGACTTACCGTAGCCATAATATTGGAATGAATGAAATGCTGCAGGAAATAGTGCGGCGATTCTTCATGTTGCCCGCATTTGTCGCCGCGACTCGATCAATATCCATTATTCATAAAGCGTCGGCTACTGCTGAAAAGTATAAACATTGTCACTCATCGCACTTATAATAATATGAGGTGGTTGAATTTAAAACCTTATTACAACATCTACTTGTATGTATTTATTGTTCATTTATGTGTACTACATTATTGTTATACCAGCTTGGCTATGCACGCTAACGCGCGCAGTATATGTCGGCGGCCACTTATCCACGATGGAGTCATTCAGCGGAATGTTGGATAATCAGAATAAGATAGTTCTCTTAAATTCGAACGCTGAACTGCTGATAGCATCACGCTCGATATATTTGAGCACAGTTATTAGTGGTTCTGGAACGTTTCTGAATAGTGTTATAAATTTTTGATCTAAGCCCCGCCCACTATGGTGCCAACCCCGCCCACTTTCGGGATTTGACCACAATTGTTCTTTTACACCTTGACAACATTTTGCCGCATCCCACAACGTTTCTGAATAGTGTTGTAAATTCTTGATCTAAGCCCCGCCCACTATGGTGCCAACCCCGCCCACTTTCGGGATTTGGCCACATTTGTCCCATTACCTCTAACCACTTTTTTTCCGCACTCTATAACTTTTCTGAACGAAGTTACTCTCAATTTTGAAAGGTAGCTTTCACTTCAATGCATGCCCCGCCCCTCGTGGGCGGAGCTTCGCTAAGCTTACGTATGCCCGGCACGCATAAGGCCTTGCTCA